CTCTGCCAGTTCACAGTGCCACTCTTATCTGGTGTCACAATAGCGTGCATTTAAAAACCAAAAAACTTTTTTTCACTGTTATATATTGAATAGCAGTTAGTTGTCTCAAAGCGGGTGTGTCAGCCCTACAGCGTGTACTCTGCCAGTTCACAGTGCCACTCATATCTGGTGTCACAATAGCTTGCATTAAAAAACAAAAAACTTTTTTCACTGTTATAGATTGAATAGCAGTTAGCTGTCTCAAAGCGGTTGTGTCAGCCCTACAGCGTGCACTCTGCCAACCTCTGCCAGTTCACAGTGCCACTCATATCTGGTGTCACAGTAGCTTGCACGCAAAGTACCACTAATCGAAAAAAAAATGACAGGCAGAGGCAGGCCACCCCGCAGGGGCCGTCGTGGTCGTGGTGCTGTAATTCCTTTTTGCCCTAGAATAATGCCCAGTTTTCAGAGGCCAGGTACCCTGAACTTGAAAAGTTCTGAGGACATAGTTGACTGGCTAACACAGGACACCCAATCTTCTACAGCTTCCGCTCGGAACCTTGACGCAACATTCTCCTCCAGCTTAGCTTCGGGTACCTCTCAAGATACCACTCACCCGCCTGCCGCCACCACCAACACTAGCACCACAGCCGCTTCACTTGGTATGCCAGAGGAGTTATTTACACATCCGCTTGAAGAAATGAGTGATGCGCAACCATTATTGACAGAGGATGTAGATAACAGGGATATGTCTCAATCAGGCAGCATTACACATGTACGGTGTGATGATGATGATATTGTACCCGCTGCTGCTTCCTTTGCTGAGTTGTCAGATACAAGTGAAGCGGTTGATGATGACGATGCGTCCATGAATGTCATGTGGGTGCCCGCTCGGCAAGAAGAAGAACAGGGCGAAAGTTCAGATGGGGAGACAGAGAGGAGGAGGAGACGAGTTGGAAGCAGGGGGAGGTCGTCGCAAGGAGCTAGTGGCACAGTCAGACAGCACGCCAATCAACGCATGCTGTGTCCACCACCAGAATGCCGTCATTGCAGAGCTCAGCAGTGTGGCATTTTTTTTGTGTGTCTGCCTCTGACAACAGAGATGCCATTTGCAACCTGTGCCAAAAGAAACTGAGTCGTGGGAAGTCCAACACCCACCTAGGTACAACTGCTTTGCGTAGGCACATGATCACACATCACAAACGCCTATGGGATCAACACATGAGTACAAGCAGCACACAAACTCAAAGCCGCCTGTAACGGAGCTCCTTGTACTCCGACCGAGTACCCTCTGTTGACGGATGCTCCTAGCGCTTCCTGAGGACTCCAAGCACTGCAGCAGACACCGCAACCACCGCAGACTCCGCAACTGCCGTATCTTGACTGGAGTCTCACCGTCTTCCTTCCACCCTGGATCAGCTTCTGTCCTCCAGGACTGTGTGGGAAAGAACTCTTCCTTCCACCCTGTATGAACCTCCAGCATCCAGGACTGTGTGGTGAAGACCCTCCTCCAAGGAGAGTGCATCAGGAACAAGCTCTTAAAAGAGCTAAATGACTCAAGCTCAGGGGAGCATGCAGAGCACAGCAATCCCCAGTGTGGTTATAACAGCTCCCTCCAATAACAAAACAAGGCTACATTTAGAGGGATCAAGAAGAACTGTCAAAACCTTTATTTCCCTTGGGACCAGCCAATAGGGTCACCACAATAACATTGTTGTGAAACCTCAATAAAATCACAAACAGTCAAACCATATTAAGCAACACACAGTGACTTATCACAACACAATGGTACATTTTTAAAGGGGTGGGGGGAGACAATATTTAACAGTAAATATCTCACCTGCCTGCAGAATTAGTAATATGCAAATCTACCCGAATATGCAAATGAACCAGTCTTGCAATTCAGGTAGTGCATATTGCTGTTGCTACCAACAGAGGGCACTAGACAAGCTCCATAGCCAAACCCACCTAGTTGGTAGCAAACCTCAGCAGTACAAGAGAGCAGGCAATACATTACACAGTACACACACACTATAAACAATTACATCACACACACCCTGCACCTATAATGGGTACAGGGTGACTAAAACATAAGATAAATAAAGCAGCCTACATAAATAGTCTGTCTGAAGGTATACTAGGGGCTTTAAAGCCAGATACATGAAAGAGTCATAGTCACAGGGGAGGAGGCTGGCAAGTAGTCCTCTCCAGGACCAAGTGGCGAAGGGCACTTCGTCACATATCTCCCCTTCGGGGGGAAGACTAACCAGGCACCTGACTTTCTGTCGGTCAGTGCCTAAGTTAGTCGAGTCACCCACCGACCATAAGCAAGTGCCAGAGTAGCCCACCCACAACAAATAGTTATTAGAGCAGCCCACCCACAGCAAACAGTGACTGCACCTGGGTATTCCTCTGGGGTGATGGGGCAACACGCTGTGGGGACTTGAGGGGCAGAGGCCAGCGGCGCTCCGCCCTGATGCCAGCGCTTCTGCTGGGAGGAGGGGGGTGCAGGCCAGTCCTGTGACAAGGGGATCGGTAGGGCAGAGGCCAGCAGCGGTCTGCCCTGATGCCAGCTCTTCTGCTGGTATAGCCTGCAGGACATCAGGCTCTGGACAAGGGACTATGGGAGGGCAGAGGCCGACTGCACTCTGCCTAGCTGCCAGCTCTTCCACTGGGGGGCTTGGGACATAGTCCGGCTCAATAGCCAGGGGAACGTGGGGGTCAGTGGGGGTTAACATCTCCCCTGTTAACCTTGGGGCCAAGTTAGGAGTTAGCTGGGGAGGGGAATTTGTACTTACCCCCTCCTCCTGTTGTCCCTGTGAGGGTAGTTGGGGATCTGGACAGGCTGTCCAGCATCCCTGTAGGTCGGGCACAGAGACCACGGTCCCCTCTGCGCCATCTGGGAGATTGGTGTCTCCGCTTGGTAGGGTAAGCTGCCGCTGGGGAGATAGGGTGCTGTGCTCCTCTCCCTGAAACACAGGCTGCCGCTGGAGAGGGAGACCGCCTGTCTCCACTCCCATAACATTGTCCTGCTGCTGGAGAGAGAGACCAACTGTCTCTGCTCCCTGTAGGACACACTGCTGCTGGGGAGGAAGGACGACACCTTCGGCTCCCTGTAACTTGCACTGCCGCTGGGGAGAGAGACCAACTGTCTCTGCTCCCTGTAGGACACACTGCTGCTGGGGGGGAAGGACGACACCTTCGGCCCCCTGGAATTCGCACTGCCGCTGGGGAGGAAGGACGACACCTTCGGCTCCCTGTAACTTGCACTGCCGCTGGGGAGGAAGGACGACACCTTCGGCTCCCTGTAACTTGCACTGCCGCTGGGGAGGAAGGACGACACCTTCGGCTCCCTGTAACTTGCACTGCCGCTGGAGACTGGGTGTCCATATCCTCAACCTCCACAGTTGTCGCTCAAAGGCCATTGCCGCACTGTTCTCAGCACTCAACTGGCGCATTACTTGGTGGACCACCTCGTTCGAAAGGTCTGGGCCATAGCAGACCAACCGCCTCTTTACCTCCTCAATGTAAGCGTCGTCCTCGTAGCGACGTATCATGTTGAGGTGCTCTTCGCAGGGCTCTATCCATCCCTGCTCCATGCTGCTGTAGTTAGGGACGCTGCACAGTGGCTAGCGTTGCCCTCAATAACCTCTCATACGATACCAGTGTCTCCGAGCTGCTTCTCCTCGCACTAGGACGCCATCCCACTGCTGCCACCAATGTAACGGAGCTCCTTGTACTCCGACCGAGTACCCTCCGTTGACGGATGCTACTAGTGCTTCCTGAGGACTCCAAGCACTGCAGCAGACACCACAACCACCGCAGACTCCGCAACTGCCGTATCTTGACTGTAGTCTCGCCGTCTTCCTTCCACCCTGGATCAGCTTCTGTCCTCCAGGACTGTGTGGGAAAGAACTCTTCCTTCCACCCTGTATGAACCTCCAGCATCCTGGACTGTGTGGTGAAGACCCCTCCTCCAAGGAGAGCGTGTCAGGAACAAGCTCTTAAAAGAGCTATGTGACTCAAGCTCAGGAGAACATGCAGAGCATAGCAATCCCCAGTGTGATTATAACAGCTCCCTCCAATAATGAGACAAGGTTACATTTAGAGGAATCAAGAAGAACTGTCAAAACCTTTATTTCCCTTGGGACCAGTCAATAGGGTCACCACAATAACATGGTTGTGAAACATCAATAAAATCACAAACAGTCAAACCATATCAAGCAACACACAGTGACTTATCACAACACAATGGCACATTTTTAAAGGGGTGGGGGGAGACAATATTTAACAGTAAATATCTCACCTGCCTGCAGAATTAGCAATATGCAAATCTACCCGAATATGCAAATGAACCAGTCTTGCAATTCAGGTAGTGCATATTGCTGTTGCTACCAACAGAGGGCACTAGACAAGCTCCATAGCCAAACCCACCTAGTTGGTAGCAAACCTCAGCAGTACAGGAGAGCAGGCAATACATTTCACAGTACACACACACACTATAAACAATTACATTACACACACCCTGCACCTATAATGGGTACAGGGTGACTAAAACATAAGATAAATAAAGCAGCCTACATAAATAGTCTGTCTGAAGGTAGACTAGGGGCTTTAAAGCCAGATACATGAAAGAGTCAGTCACAGGGGAGGAGGCTGGCAAGTAGGCCTCTCCAGGACCAAGTGGCGAAGGGCACTTCGTCACACCGCCATCCTCCTCCTGGTCCAGCATCTTCAGCCACGTCAACCACTGCTGTCCTCCTTGCCCCTTCTCAACCATCCGCCACTCCGTCTCTCGCCTTGAGCAGTTCCTGCTCATCTGCCCACAGTCAGGTGTCTGTCAAGGACATGTTTGAGAGTAAGAAGCCAATGTCAGAAAGTCACCCCTTGCCCGGCGTCTGACAGCTGGCTTGTCTGTACTATTAGCCCGCCAGCTTTTACCATACAAGCTGGTGGAGTCTGAGGCGTTCAAAACATTTGTAGATATTGGAACACCGCAGTGGAAGGTACCCGGACGAAATTTCTTTTCACAAAAAGCAATCCCCAACCTGTACTCGATTGTGCAAAAGGTAATAGCATGTCTGGCACACAGTGTTGGGGCAAGGGTCCATCTGACCACTGATACCTGGTTTGCAAAGCATGGTCAGGGCAGGTATATCACCTACACTGCGCATTGGGTAAACCTGCTGACGGCTGCCAAGCATGGAATGCGTGGCTCTGCAGAGGAGTTGGTGACACCGCCACGACTTGCAGGCAGGCCTGCTGCCACCTCCTCTACTCCTCCTACTCCATCCTCTTCCATAACCTCCTCGGCTGAGTCCTCTTCTGCTGCTGCGTCTTGCTCCACATCAACGGCACCCCCCCAGCTCCCCAGGTACTATTCCACATCCCGGATACGGCAGTGTCACGCCGTCTTGGGTTTGACTTGCTTGAAAGCAGAGAGTCACACCGCACAAGCACTCCTGTCCGCCCTGAACGCACAGGTGGAAAAGTGGCTGACTGCGCAGCAACTGGAGATCTGCAAAGTGGTTTGTGACAACGGAACAAATTTGTTGGCGGCATTGAAGTTGGGCAAGTTGACACATGTGCCGTGCATGGCACATGTGTGTAATCTGATCGTACAACGCTTTGTGCATAAGTACACAGGCTTACAGGACGTCCTGAAGCAGGCCAGGAAGGTGTGTGGCCATTTCAGGTGTTCCTACACGGCCATGGCGCACTTTGCTATATAGGGGGAAGAGTCTCTATTCTGCTCTGTGTCAGTGTGTATCATGATCTCTGAGGACAGGTGTCAATCCATATCTGCCAAGTGACCCTATGTAAGAGGAACAGTCTCTATTCTGCTCTGTGTCGAGTGTGTATCCCTTTGATTATAACGAGGACGGGTGTCAATCCATATCTGCCAAGTGACCCTATACATGTAGGGGAACAGTCCCTATTCTGCTCTGTGTGTTAGTGTGTATCAGGGATCCAGCATACAGGACGGGTGTCAATCCATATCTGCCAAGTGGCCCTATGTAGGAGACAGTCTCTATTCTGCTCTGTGTCAATCCATATCTTTTGCCAAGGCTGACCCAGCCTATGTGCAGGAGGAAAGAGTCTCTATTCTGCTCTGTGTCAGTGTGTATCATGGTCTCTGAGGACAGGTGTCAATCCATATCTGCCAAGTGACCCTATGTAGGAGGAACAGTCTCTATTTTGCTCTGTGTCAGTGTATATCAGGGGCTCTGAGGACAGGTGTCAATCCATATCTGCCAAGTGACCCTATGTAGGGGGAACAGTCCCTATTCTGCTCTGTGTTAGTGTGTATCAGGGATCCTTAGGACAGGTGTCAATCCATATCTGCCAA